GTAGCCAAGGAGGCAGGCTGAATAGGAAGGAAGTAATTGGATTGAAGGCAAACAGGGTGTTATTTTAAGGCAGAGAGCTGTGCTGTGTACCTTCCTGGATATTGGGCCATGCCAGGATTGCCTGCGGTGATGCCTGCACCCAGCATCTGTGCACTATCATGCTAACTGTACCCAGAAAAGTAGGTGAACTGATCCCCTGGCAGCTTTGCCTGCAGACTGGTGGTCCTGTTTTGTTTACACACAGGTACATCCGTAGTACCTTTATTCTGTACATGAAACAGGTCTGGATGTGTGCCCAGGAGTCCATAACCTGAGTTTTTGCTCAGACCTGAGTCTGCCCGTGCACCGTGGAGGAAGACTGGGTCTAAGGGGACAGGCTTTATCTGGTGGGACTTTCCTTGCCACTTCCAGGATCATCCTTCATATTTTTTGAACGAGAAGCCACAGCAGTAATTTGTGCCGTTCCAAGCTAGGCAGACCCAAACCCTCTCCCTGATCTGGATGTGATCAGAAGTAGTTTAAAGCTCCTTGACCTTTTCTGGGAGTCCTTCCCCTACTGCTCGTGTGTTCTGGATAAATAAGAGTGTTTCTTGCCTTCCCTGGGGAGCTCATTTTATTTTGGGTCAACTCCAGCCCTCTGGCGCTCCGTGAACCCGAAGCAGAAGGAAGGTCGAGCGGAGCACTGGGCCAGGGGTTGTTTGCTAGAGAGCGGCAGCAGATTGCTGCCCCCCATAGGAAGCAATGCGGCTGGTTTACTTTTCCTTCACTTGGGATGTACCAAGTCTTTACCCTGATCTCTCCATTCTGCCGGCAAACCTGAGCCCTACTTATGGGGACTGTGCTGTTCGCTGGGTGTTTTCACATTGCACAAGTGGATTTAAGAAATTCTGCAAGAAAAATGGTGAAAGGATCCTGCCAGGAAAATGTAGATTGAAAGTTAGAGTCTCAGTATGGACTTGACCCTGGTGAATCCCATCTTCCACATATTATAGCTTTGAGCCTTTCACAGAGGTGATTTGAAGCAGAATGAGAGTTCTGCTGCTCCAGCTGCTTATGCCATAGATATTAACAACTTTGACCATAACAGCATCACTAACTGCTTCACGTTCTCCTCCCTTTGTGGCATGGGGATGTGGGAGTCCTTGGGAAGAGCTGGCAAGATGGACTGTGGGTAGATGCTTCCTGAGCGTCATGCAGTGGGATGCTTTGATTTTTTGCCACCTTTTTGCCCAGAGAGACACCCGACATACAAATGGCCAGATATGCCTCTGTCACAGGGCAGCAAGAGAGGCATCTTGGTCATGCGGTGAATGTAGCTCTAGTGATATGATGGATGTTCGGCCTTCCACGTCCATCAGAGGCCCACTGCCTGTCTTGAAGTCCTTCGCTAGCTTGTGGGAGGGATAGTGCAGGACGACCTTCTCTCAGAGTGTGTTATTAGTGCAGTCCTGCTTTGGGATGTAGACCCAAAGTAGGTTTCCCAGTGAACGGAGACCGCTCTTGGTCATAGCAGTGCCATCAACCAGAAGACAGCTTAATGTCTAGGCTTCTACCTTGCAGCAGCTTTTGCTCTTGTAAGCTCATTTTAAGGCTCCCTAAAGGACATATACCTCAGTTCTGCCTTTGTAGGACAGTGGGGGTTTTCTTCAAATGCAGCCACAGAAAGAGAAAATATAATAAAAGTGGTCCTGTCAGAGCTGTCATCTACTATCATCTGCTGTCTGCTATGGTTGTGATAGAATGTGGTTGTTTAGTTACAAAGGCTTCTGCTGCACCCAGCTTGATAAGGCAGTATCCCTGTCACAAATCTAACCATCCAGGAACCGCTGTCAGGGCTTTTCACTCAGCTTCAGAGTCACTCAGTTGTGGGTAGTACTGCACAATTTGCTTGCCTGGTCGAGCTCTGCGGCTGGAAATCGAAAGCTTTCTGCGAGGTCAGAGGAGCAAAATCGGTGGGACTGTTGTGACTTAGACCACGCTGACCTGTGTCTTTATTACTTAGGGGAGAAAGGCTCCCTTGGGTTGAATAGGTAGACTCCCGCTTGGATCCCGGAGCGCCCTGTCGTCCTGAAAAGCCAGTTTGGGGGACGTTTATATGCAGGTGTGATTCTGCAATCCAGCCACCAGCTCGGTTTGTGCCCCTGATATTGTGGCAGAGTCAGACTCAGAATGCCTGATGGAGTGAGGACAATTAGCAACAACCAGAGGATTTATTTCATCTTAATGGAGAAAGTAAGCGATGTTTGGCCTGGTTCTCCTGCTGACGCGAGGCCAAACGAGAGCGCTTCTGTTGAGGGTAATGTCACGCGTTTGCAAGGTTATACCTGGGAATATCCCTGCCCCACTCTCCCCTGTGCATAGCGGGCAGTGAAGAGCAGGTTCACTCCCCCAAGCAGAGGTTCCTGTGGGGACAGCACATGGGGCCACATCGGTCCCCTGGTGTCATCGGCAGCTGCAGCCTGTCACACACCATTTCGCAAGCCTCTTTCGACGCTGCTACTGAGAGGCTGACCTAGAGCCCCTGCCGTCGCATCTCAGAGAGCCGGCGCTGTGGTGGCAGCCAGCATCAAAGGAGGCTGCGCTCAGAGCTGGCCCAGGAGCTCAGGACACAGAGCGAGCTCCTATGTCCCTAAGTGTTCTGTGCCGTCAGAAGGGGAATCCAGGGCTCAGAGGCTTATTCAGAGTGAAGGGAAAATGCCACAAAGCGCAGTGATCTAAAGAGGTATCAGCTGCCATAGAGATTAGCTGTTAAGTGGACTCCTCAGGAAATGCAGTGTCTGGTTTTATTAACCGCTATTCTCTCCAATTAAGTTTACACAATGAATTTATTACTTTTTAAAACAATAACAATGCTATTTCAGGGGCTGCCTGAGATGTAGAAGAGCGTGCTTTATGAGCCTGTTCCTTCTGACCTGCAGAGTATTGTTCAAGAAGCTGAACTCTGTGCTTTTTAAGGCTGATCATAACTAGATCAGTTGCCCTGATTACCTTGCACTGATGAACCTTATTACTCTTAATATTTGCCACACACTGACTTTCTCAACGTCTGCACAGCAGGCGAGTGGATAACTATGTCAGTAAGCCATCTTTCTCCATTTCCCCCCTGGATATTCATTCACGGCTAACCCTACATTGGTAGGGGTCCAAAGGAAAGGGGCATCTAACGGCACGTCTGAGTAACATGCATTCTCACTTTCCAGAGCACCAGGAAGCCAAATTTCTGCGACACGTCCTGTGCTTTATCATGCTTAGGTGAGGGACATCTGTTGATCAGACCAGAATTTACCTTTTCAGTGGGCAGTCTGGGTGACTTTAGGAAGTCGACAACTGTAGTCCTACCCTCCCCTAACTGACTTAAGTCCCAGGAAGAGCTTTGCCATCAGAGCTTGGCTCCAGTCCGCTTATCTCAAACATGAGGCTAAGGTGCAGCTCTGTGGTGCTGCTTGAGCTTGGTCCAGGCACAGCCTGAGCGGTGCAGAGCTGCACTGCCACCAATTAGCAGGACATGCTAATGGGGCCGTGCTGATGTCATGCTGAGCCTTGCTGCATAGCGTTGCGCTCAGCTCTCACCTGGAGATCTCCAGCACCTCTGCTTGGTGCAGTGCTGATACAGCGAAAGGATGCCAGTGCCCTGAGCGGGACCAAGCACACTTGACTCCTCATCTGTGATTCTCCTTTCTTGGCACAAGGGCACGCTGAGCTCTCAGCAACTTGGAAATGTTCCCATCTCCTCTTTCATTTCCTGATCTCTCTAATTGGATTCAGTTCTGCTAGTTTTATCTCCCTGCTCCGGTGGTAACAGCAGCTGCAATCGAAAGCAGTGGAGGCTGTAGGAAGCTATTCCCAGTGAGAATGTCCCTGTGCAGACTAGGAGAGGAAGCATCACGGGGGGAGAACCGTGTTACCATCCAGCCTGACTCCTCCAGTGTGGAGGAAAACGTAAGGTCACATCTCCAGTGGAGGGGAGTCCATGCACGTTCCCCCAACAGCTCTGCGAGAGCAGCTTTCTGGGCTCCAGCTCTCTGCTCCTCAGAGAAGCACGTGGGTATGATGTGCATGGACATGCACTGCTCCCCTGAGCAGTCCCCCCCAGGTGAGAACGAAGGCCAGTTGTTCTTCAGGTCCAGGAAGAGCTAGGTCAGCCGGAAATGACAAGAGAAGTGCAAAATCGGAGGATGGAGGTCAGCCTGCTTCTCCCCCCAGCTCTAGGAGCTTGGCACAGGGGGAGCAGGGTACGACCCAGGCACTGTCTGCCCGCCTGTCACAGCCCGTGGAAGGGCCCCAGCACCTGCAGGCACAGTCACAAGGCCGCCCTTTGCCACGCAGAGGTTTGGTCCAACTCTCAGCCCTCTGAGGACTGGGGAGCAGCAAAGAGCACTGAAAACCCCTTTTCCTGCCTTCTCCACAAGTATAGGAAGAATGTGTGCAAGAAGGTGTGTTCCCAGCTTTCCCAGAGGTGAGCACAGATTTAGTTTTGTGCGTATTCTGACTGTAAATCACCTCTCTAGCAAAGAACTGGGCTGTCTGCTCGGGGAAGTGGCTGTAAGTGCTGGTCCAGGGGAGCTATTTGCCTTTCCACCCACTCAGGACGCAAGGTTTGATTTCCGGACTGTGCCTTGCAGGGAAGGGCAGGGAGCCAGGAGAAGGCGTAGATCAGCTGCAGGCTGTCTTCTGCCTCTCACCAGCCTCATTCATCTCTGGGAACAGAACAACACTGACACACAGCAAATGAGCCCTGTGCTTCCAGGGTGCTTTGGAAATGCCACCAGCCACATGACGGCGGCTATAGATCAGTGTGCTCCTGGCTAGGTCGCAAGTGACTGTAATCATACATCATTACAGCTACACTCCTCAAGACGTGGCTCAGCAAATCATTAAATGAAGCTACGTGTTAGCGTTGCTCTGGGAGGGTCTGGCTTGCGTCAGGATCTCCGCTTTGCCTTTTCTGGCCAAAACATCTCTTTGCTTCCTCCAGTCTGCCTCCTTAAAGCTGCCCGTACCTCTGTTGCTGGCACACGTCATTTTAGTGTCTACATCCATCGCATCTGCAAGTCTCTTCAGTCCAAAGAGCATTCATCTAAAGTGTGTCTGTGGGACTGGAAATGAGCCCAGACCCCCATGTTGTGCCACTGGTACCTGGAAATTGTGCTAGGCCCAGCTCGTGGGAGGATCTCAGGAGTACTAGTAAGTGGGTGATGTTGGTCGTAATCTCACTGTCTCGGCATTTGGAGGCTGTACAAACTCATTAAGTGCTGCAGTGAAGTCAACCTTACTTGGGGACTTGGGTGCCCCCCCAATGCAGACAGGGGAGGAGCCTTCTTCCCTGATGTCTCATTTTGGCCTCCAGGAGTGACAAGGTTCACACAGGCATCTGATGAAAACGGTGAGCGAAGACCGCTTTTAGTTAATGCCTTCTTGTTGATTGCTCTGCAAATTCACTGCTGTCACGTGGCAAAGCTGTGTGGCTGTTCCCGGCATGCCTGTTTTGTGCAACTTTACTCTTGCTGGGCCGCAGTTGGTGTAAATTGTAGGAGGCAGCAAAGTTACCCCAGAATTGTACCGACATGGCCAAAGACAGCACATGGGCCAGCGTGCGATTTCTACCACCCTTCACCTTTGGCAAGGCCCCTCTCCTGGTTGCATTGATGCAGAGGGAGCGGCCTTGGATCTACGGCGGGCCTAGGAAGAGCCAAGCTGGCAGCAGGGAGAGAAAGGGAGGGTTGTGCGTGGATGCCTCATACAGCCTGCACTAACCGTTTCCCCCCGGTCTGCAACGTTGCCTGTGAGTGCTTTAGAGACGAGGAGATGAGTCCTGAGGATGCCGTTTCCACCTCAGCTAGCTATAGGCTTTAGAGCTGGGAGCTGAGTTGCTGACTGCTGTGTCCTGAGCTGCCCCCGCGAGGGATGGCGGGGAGGATTTTGTTCTAGTCCCACTTGTATGAAGCTGCTGTCAGCAAAGTTCATCGCCTTCTCACTGGGGTTTAAATTCTCAAAGAAACCAGCTCAATCAATATGATCTTGGTAACAAGATTCCAAGGGACGTTGCCGTGCAGGCGAGGGTGTGGAAATTGCCGTTCAACTCAGAAAAACAGCCTGCGGTGAAGAGCTGCTGTATATTCCCAGTGCTCTCTACCTGCCTTTGCGCCCTGATCTCCGTGTGCAGAGCTGCAGCAATATGGCTCTCGCTGAGTTTAAGAAGGGTCGTAGAATAGCTGGGAATGCAATGCCAGTTGAACACCCTCCGCTGTCAGCCTGACAGATAGAAAAGAGCTCGCAGCGAGCTGCTCAGGACTGGCAGAGGCCTTGTGAGGCATCCCTGGGTATGTCTGTTAGTGTTTTAGCTCAGATCAATGGTGTACTTCTGAAGTGACTCTCCCAGTTGTTCCCTTTTGCGGAGCTTGACTCACGCCCCAGAGCAACCTCGGCGCGGGACCTGGGTTCCTTTTGGAGGAAACTGCCTGGAAGACGCGCTCCGGGAGCACCCCTAAGGCACGGCAACTGCAGGCGGGACTGGACTCGAGCTAAGTAGGTCTCCTCCTGAAATATGCAGAGAGCGGACGCCGGGTCTGCAGCACCAACTCACTCCACAGATCTGCGCTGATCAGTCCACAATACTTGACGTTTAGTGAAATAGCTTTTCACCTTTACCGTGTTTGCCCCGTAGGGTACCTGCAGGCGACTAGCAGACCCTTGCTCAGCTTGCGTTTTTCTCAGCATTTCTGTAATAGAGCTGGCGGTTCTCTCTGTGATTTCAAAGTGATGTGCATTAGGTTTTGCTGAGGAAAAGCTGAGGTGATTTGTTGCTGAGTGTTGACGAAGCAGAGCAGGAGTTAATTGAGGAATGTCAAAGGCATATTAGTAAGATCTTGGTGTTCCCGTTTCTTCTCCCTAAAACTCAAAGCAGGGACTACATCCTCATTGTGCAGACAGAGTAACTTCAGCCCATCCTCGCTGAGCAGCGTGACTGTCGTTTAGGTCACACTGTGTCCCTGGGATGGGCTTGTCCCCAGCACCGGTCACGTTATCCCATGCGCTATTTAAGTACATCGTGGCCAAGGTCCCCTCCGTGCTCTGTGGCACTGCAGCTCTGCCTACCCCCAGTGGCCCAGTTAGCCAGAGATGTTGTCCGGTACGGCAGCCTGCCACGTCTTGCCGTGTCTTGCTGCCCTCGTTTGCTCTCTGCAGCCCCTTTCCTGGCAGGCAGTCCAGACCACCTTGCTACTTTACTTTTCATTTGGGCCAGTCACGGACTTGGTCCTCCTCTGATTTCAAGTGTTGGATCTGAACCGACTTCCTAGCTGGCCGCCCAGTTCGGGGTCAGGGGAAGGAATTGCGCTTTCTGATCTGCAGGGGAAGTGCAGCTGATTTTCTTCCTCTGTCCTCCGCTCACCTACCTGCTGCTGTCTGCCACAGACACCTTGCAGCGGCGCTGTGCCCAGGGGGGCAGCTGTCCAGACGGGGGACGGATGCCGGGAGCTCTGCTACGGCACTCGCAAAGGCTGGAGCCCCCCCTCCACAACAACTGCCCGGGCTCCCAACAGCACCGCTGCCACACACCCCAACACCACTACGCATCCCCAGCTTTCTTCCACCTCCTGGGCCGCCTGCGTGGGATTTTGTTAAAGCCACTTATTTTTTGATAGCATCAATAAGAGAGCAGTAAAGCCTTCCTGGGTGCTGCAGCGCAGAGCAAAATCACTGTCGATCCTGGCAGTGTCAGTGTTGGAGGCCTTATCAGCTCAGCCCAGGTTGTTTTTATTTATCCCCCCCCCCACCCTAGGTCATCAAGTATCAAAGTGAAATCTCACAAGGGCTGTCGTTCAGTGCGATAAGGAGCTGCTGCAGGGTTATGGGTGCTTGTTGGGTGTGGGCTGGGGAGGACGGTGCGAGGCAGGGTCCCCGAGGGCGGGGGCGTGATGTCCGGGTGACCCTGAGAGGGGCCTGCTTGCTGTGGGTCGGCTTGCTTGGGATCCCCACCCTACCAAAATCACCCTGCTGCCTGCGTGACCCTCCCCGGTGCTCCCCTTAAGAGCCAGCTAGATTCAGCTGTTCGCAATAATCAGCCAGGAGCGGGAGCCCCAAGGTCCAACGTGCCGTCGCTCGTGCTCACAGATGGCCCCAGCCACTGGCTTTGTTCGTGCAGACACTAGGGCAGTGTATTTCCGCAGCAGACAGAGTTGATTCAAAGGCTTCAGCCTGGAAATAAGACAAGGATGTATTCTTTCCAGGCACGATGACCTTGCTGAAATCCTTTCATTGCCTCCCGCACGGCTCTGGGATTCCCTGCTCCAGGGAGGGCAGCCTGACCTCCGGCAGGCACCCTCCCTGCTCTGCCTCCTCCTGACCTTGCTGCAGGCTTGCTATGGGCAATGCTAAATTTATGCTGAGTTTCTTGCATGTTTTATTCAGTCTGGTCTCAGTAGCACTATCATGTCCTGCAGTAGCGCTGGCAAAGTCCACCGGGCCATCTGTGCTAGCACTGCGGCTTGCCCAGCTCACTGCTAGGCTAAGGGCTGGCAGTTACTGTTGCCTGCCTAGAGCCCCTTCGCCTGCACACACGGCAGAAAGGGACTGTGGTCCTAAAGGGAGACTGCTAATCTTTTGAAAATTGCCTGCTGCAACTTGGTTGCTAACCCCTGGAGTTGCACATTAGCCAGCACTGGGCGACCCTGTTGGAAGCAAGACCCTTGCACCAAGATTGCCACTCATCTCTTTTTATGGACTTGAATGTATGCAATTCTTATGCCAAAACTGTTAAAGAATAGTTCTGGCTTCTAGATCACGTGTTAGGAGCAGCGCGCACAACACACCCTCTCCTGGACGCCGGTGGGCGCCTGGGGGGCTGTGGGGCCAGGTCACATGCTATTATTTCCACTCTGAAGCAGCAGAGCATTTTGCTCCTGCTGTGAATCCTTATGTTCACTGGAACTTTCTGCCTCCTGATTCATAGCCCTAACTGGTTTCCGCAACCGGGACACCTAGTGCTTTGCAATCTGGAATCACTCCTCAGCAGCCTTTGGGAGAAGCCTGTATGAGAAGGGGGACCTGAACCCCCACCTTGAATTCTCAAGCCAGCGCCCTGCTCTTTAAGCAGACTTTCTCCCAGCAAGGGGCTTCCAGAAATGCTACAAGCAGCCCTGCTGCTTCACAGCCCTCTCTGCAGACCTGTGTCAAAAAATCAGACGTGCAAAACTCGCCAGCAGGAGTTTGGTGACATGTTTGCAAGATGGCTTGTGAGCAAATCATTCACTAGGTCGCAGTGAACACAGGGACATGCAGCAGCCCCAGGGACAGCACAGGCTGCCTGTCACTGGGGGCTGTGACTTGTCTGAGCTGCCAGAAGAGCTGAACAGCCTCTTCTGTGGTCTCAAGCAGCAGGGCTGACTCCCTAGTTCTTCTCTGGGAGGGTCAAGCAGAGTCTCAATAAAAACAGCAGGTGTTATGGTATCTCTGCCTCTTCTGGAGACAGAGGGGCCTCTCCACAGGCCCTGGAATTAACTCCTGTGTTGATAAAAATTGCCCCAGAGATAATCCGCTTTGCGGATCCCTGCCTGCCCCGGAGCCCCAGCCTGCCTTGTGTGTGCAGAGATCATCTGCTCTGCAGATGCCCAGCTGCCTCCACGCTGCTGCACAGGCGGCAGGAGCAGCGCGGCCCGCGAGCGCGCAAGGCACGTGCCCTGCGTGGAGCTCTTCTCCCAAGGGCTGCTATATGGTAATAGTTTGCCTTTCATTTTCCTTGTGCATACCCCAGTTTCCCCAGCACATCAGCAGTAAAAGAGAAGAACCAAGGCCCCCAGTACGCAGCGTTAGCGGTCACTGCCTTCCTGTCCCTTGCTTCCCTTGTTATCTGCAGTGTGGGAGTGGGAGCTGCTCCTAAGGGTGTATTTGCTCCTGGAATTTGCACCCAGGAGCTTTGCTTACAAAACTGTCCGCGCCCCTGTATCTGTGTGCATGCATGCGTACGTGTGTCCCCTGGCTCACAAGCATAGGCTCTTCCATCTGTTACTGCTATTTGCCACATTCAAGAGCTTTATGTCAGGCTCAGAGCACATCCTTCTCATGGGAAGCCAGGAAAATCTGAGCTGGGCCTGTGTCAAATATGCGACAGCAGAATAGTTCCGTTTGAAGAGAGGTGTAATTCAGATCTGCAGCCTTCCTGTAGCCTCTCTTGGCTCAAAGTTACAGTTATTAGTGAGTACGATGGTCTGGCTTTGCTCCTCCTGCAAACATGCCAGAGGCATGGCAGGGAGGCCCTGGGAGTGAACGCTGCTCTCCAGTGACTCAGGCCAGCTTTCGAGGGTTTTTGTCGCCCGATTACTCCAGAAGACACCGAGGAATTCAGCGTGCAGAGACCAAGCAGGCGGCAGGGAAAGCTCCTCTCTCAAACAGCCTTTCGGGTGCAGGCGCTCCAAACGAGCAGAGGGTTGCCCCAGGGGCCGCCGGGTGTAATCCGCGGGCTGCTACACGGCTGCGTGCCCAGCGTGGTTTCAGGGGACGTGGCTTAGCAGAGCGGAAGAAAGAGGAAGAGAAGAGAGAGAGGCAGGAGGTCGCAGCTGCAAGGAGCATAAGAAATCAGCTGCTGCCCTGGCAGCACCCGGCACAGCAAGCTGGCTGGCTGGAAAGCTGGAAAGGGCACAGGGTCAGTCCGGGAAGCGTAATCCGCGCCTGGCTCACTGGGTTTGGCATGCACAGATGGGCACGACGGTGATTGATCACTGGTCTGATTTAGCACAGCGTGGCAGAAGGGCATGATTGGTGTCACCATCGGTAGATTAGTCTGGTATCGATCTCGGACAAAATCGGGGAAGAGTCGTTCTGGGGTTCTCTTGCTAAGGAGTAAAAGGACGAGGAAATGATTAATGTCAGTTATGGAGGTTTCTAGGAAATAGCCTTATCAGACAAACGCTTGAGGATGTTCAGGTTTGATAACAGCAGCTGCACAGGTGTAAAGTATTTTTGGCAAGAGGTTTCCTTATTCCCACATAGGTATTAGGTGCTTAGTGCATGGTGCAGTGTCACATCACATCGTATGGATTGGGAGCTGGCACACTGGTAGAGCTCCAGAAGTTGTTGTCTGGAAGTGGTGATCAAAATGAGGCTGAACTGAGGCTGGTGTGTCTTCACAAGAAGGGATGAAGTAGGTGTCTTGACGCTCGTGTGATCAGGGCTAACAGCCTGGGTTAAGCTAACCCAATCTAGGTCAGGACAGAGTCTCTCCTTGGGGCAGATCGACAGGATCTTTTGCAGCATAAGGCACAGCCAAGTCCCCGCAGTCACTCAGCGTCTCCCATGAGGACTCGGCCTTTGCAGGACTCTGGGACATGCTGCTGCCTCAGTTTCCCCTTCTCCCCCCTCCTTGTGGCACAGCATATCTGCAGGCTTTGGTCTCCTACAAGAGGTCTGAAGTTTGTGGCAGGGAGCAGAAGGGTTTTGTGGCTTGCAGGAGATGGGGTATGTGGAGTCGATGCTCTGGAGATCTTCTGGACCACATCTCTTCCACAGCAACTCTACAGCCCCTTTCAGTCTGTGCTCCTCAGCTCAGGGAGCCGGGAGAGGGTGCGAGCTAAGGCTGCTGCTTGCAGCTCCTCACCATCCTCCCAGGACCTATATCCCCAGGGCGGGTTGAGGACATTTAGCCACCAGCACTTCAGTGAACTCCTCTGTGAACCTGTGCCTCTGGTTACTTGGCTCCCTGAAAAGTTAAAGGTGCATTGGTTTTTGTTTCCTGGAGACCTGAGGGAGGCTGTAGCTGTTTCTCTTCCTTCATTCGCTTCACTGGCCACATACAACTTTGTTCAGGGCGTGAACGAATCCTCTGTGCAGGGTAGCACTGAATGGAAATGGCAAGGGTCCCTCTTTGATGACTGGCCACCAGCTCTGTGAGCCTGGTGCTGCTAGTTAGGGAAGTCTGAGTCCTCACCCTGTGCTGCAGGCTCGTGTTTGGAGGGACAGGCTTGTGTTTGGAGGGGCAGGGTCAGCTCTCCTGATGGCCTAGGCAGCAGCTCCAACGCAGAGCTCCTGCTTTCTGCTCATAGGCAGCTCTGAATCCTGAAGTCAGGCTCTCATGCCTGGAACGGAAAGCCAATTAGCAGTAGTTTAGCTTCATCAACTTTCTGATTTAATGCAAGTTTTAATTAAACATCCCATTTTAATTAGTCGGGCATCACATACAGTAAGCTTGCCTCAAGATTCAAAGACTGTAGGTTCTATGCTATAATTAAAGGAAAGTAGCACATGACTTCAACTCCAGCATCTGTGGCAGCTCCTCATCCTTTCAAGGGTACAAGCAGAATGGGGAATGGCATCTTTTCTCGCCATGGCTCATTCCTCTTCTCTTTTGCTTCATTATGGTAGCCTCACTGCCCACATTCAGATACTTCCTCCTGGAGGTTAACAGCCCTTGTTCCAGTAGAGGAAGTGGCTATGAGATGACCTGGTTGAAAGGAGAGAAGACACAGGAGCTGGTCGCAACAGTTAGGATGTCAGAACAGGTCCTGGAGTCCTCAGCCGAAGGCCGAGAGCGCTTTCAGGGTGAGTTTTCTGTCCGAGGGTAATAGAGAGCACTTACCCATCCATGACAAATGTGGAGGTGCAGTCATCTGTATAGTCGCAGGTGCAAATGGCGTTTGCAAAGGGCATGGCTTGCAACAACACAGAGGAGATGGTTTTCACAGGGTGTGCAGTGAAGCTATGAACTTCTTGGGATAGGACCCTGTGAACGGTAAAAGCTCATGTTGGCCCAAGACAAGACTGGACAGTTCTGAGGAAGAGAAATCCAAGGAGGGTTACACAGCTTGCACAGAAGTTGTGCCCACCTGATGAGATTCCTGAGCTGCAAATTGGTGGAGGCTGGAGGAGCACTTAGAGAGGTGTCATACGCACTCTTTTTACCCTCATAACTCTTCCCTAGAGATTTGCTACTGACCACTGTTGTACAGAAGATGCTGCACTTAGGTGTACGCTTGGCCTTACCTTGAACAAAAATGAACTTTGCTTGATCTCATTTGAACTGAACAACCTTTTAACGTCAGCAAAGGCTTGCTTTCTCGCATGGAGGTGCAGCCACTCAGGGCTGGGAAACAGGCAACGCAGAGCTGTGCAGTTCCTGGGTGTAAAGGGGCTGTGGTTGCTTCCAGCTGGCAGGAGGACCTGGGCTAGCAATTATTTTTCAACTTCCAGAGGAGCCCTCCTCTCCATGAGACTGGTGTCTCTCCTGACTACTTTAGGCATGTTGTCTAGTGTCACAGCCTGCAAACGAATTGGGTTTGAAATGAGAACAACTGTTCCTCACTCTTGTTGCTGGCTAACGCCAGCTAACTTCAGACTTCTCGGTATGCCAGATGGAGCAGTCACACAGAGCTGAGTCCTGCAAACCCAGCATTCAACACTAAGCGAGACCCAACACATCCGAAAATAACAGGCCCAACTCCCTTCTCACCTCAGAGTAAACCTGGAGGAGCTCCGTTGCCGGTAGCTGGGTTAAACTGGAGGAAAACCAAACCGGCTCTGCCTGAGAGATGGTGCAAAGTTTAAAATGGTGCTTTTCTTGGTTTCTCGTAACTGCTCCCGCTGCCAGGAGGCGGTTGCAGCCCTGCTGATGCACCAGCCTTCTGCACCCAACTGCACTCATCCACGTGCTGGGACAACAGAAAATCAAAGCCTGACAGAAATCCCTTTGTCAGCTCTGCCTGAGAAGGAGGGTAACGGAGCTATTAGTGAGCACAAGAAAGGGAATGGATTCTCTCGTAAGTGCTCCAGGGACAGAGATTTAAATGCTTAACTCCCATTAATGCTAATGTGCATTCACAGAGGTCCCCTCTTGCTGCCTTGAAACAAGAGCATTGGAAAAAGAGGCCAGCTTTCTGGAAAGAACAAATTCATTTGATTTTAAGAGCAAACTAAATAGAATTTGTCTTCATTTCACACTCATTAATTCCACTGCCTATGCTAGCTATGGGGGAGACTGCTCCCATCCCCTCTGCTCTCAGCATCCCTCCTGCTCTTACCCCCAAGACCTCTTCCTGGTATGAGCCTTCATTGCCCCCATCCTCCCCCTCACTCATCCTCCCTAGATCTTCATCCCATGTTCCTCTGTGGAGCGCTCACACACACCAGCTGCCAAGTTCATTTCTTGTGGAGAACCTGTGACTCTGCTTCACGTGGCTGGTGATTAAATCCTTCTCCGAAACGACAGGCTGCATTAAGGCTTGGGTTTGTTCCAAGGGTAGTGGCTTTTCAGGAAGGTACCACTAGAATTTATAGGCCCGATCAGTCATTTGACTCCTCTCTGCAGCCCCTGGCTTATTAACATAATAACAAAAAACAGAAGGACCTGTTTTTTCTGTGCAGTGTGATTATGAATCATGTTGTCAACATGCCTGTAACACAGCCCATAATGGGTGCATTCAGGCATGCCTCCGAGTCCCTGCGCTCATTCTCGTACGCGCTTCGTTGTCACACGGCGTTCAATAACATCGTTTAATGGACTAACTGTGATGGTTTGCAGCTCGGCATCCTCACGCGGGTGGCACTTGCCATCAGCAGCACCGGTGCAGCAGGAGAGCTAGGCAGAGGTTTTCCTGGGAAGCACTTCGCAGAGAGTGCTGGGATGGGGAGATGATGGGGTAGTTCATTGTTGTGGGCTGTGCAGATTCAGAGCTCTCCCGGTTGGAAAACCACATGCCTGGGAGGCACTTGGAAGCCCGGAGATGTGCCCAAGGTGCTGCTGCCAGCCAGCATCAGCCTAGTTAACCAGCCCCTGTGTGCTCACAGCTGGACCTGGATGAGGATGAAGAGGAGGATGACGAGGAGTTTTTGAGGAGCTATTTCAAGGGCCTTATGTAGGAGCATCCCCGTATGTGGGGAAACAGGCACAGCTGGAGGGAGAGGTCTGCCCACCTGCACTGGGAGAGCCTCAGCATGACACCGAGTCTTTCTGGAGATTGACACAAAGCTCATGCAGGTGCAAAACCAAACCCCAGAGCTCCCATATCCAGTAAAAGGCCTGTGGCCACCCATAACTAGGAAATGGCACCGTGCACCGACTTTGCACAGGCAGATCAACCTGTGCTGGCTCTTCCTGCATGTTGCTGTGAACTGGGCTTGCCGGCGTTGGTGCCCCATTCTCCACTGCAGGGGCAAGGGTGTTCAGTGTGCACATTATGAGCACCAGTGGTTAGAAAAAGTAAGGTTTCCTGACTGTTACATAAACTTGTCGTTCCCAGTGTAGGCACTGATGGCATCAAGAACATCTTGAACAAGGGGAAGGGGTGAATTGAAGGAGACTGGTGCTGTCCAAGGTGAAAGAGCTACGCAGCGAAGCTTGCATGGACACTGCATACCGGCACTGTAGAGCTCTTAATAAATTTTAAGAGCACATTTAAAATGGTTTCCCATTAGGACAGCCTCAAAGAGTTATGCTGATATCAAGATCTCCTTTCTGAAATTTATGTTGAAATAAAAAAGCCTTTCAAACCCTTTATTAAAGGAAAAACGCCTGCCATGCTGCAATTTTAATGAGGAGCTTGTAAACATAACAAATTCATGCTGCTTTTCCCTATTAATTGCCCACGTTGTCGAAGAGCAGGGCCCTTCAGCGCTCACTTCTCAAACCACCGCCCTGTGCTCTGCAGGGCCGCGGTGCTAACTCCGATCGCAAGCTCTGTTCCCCGGTGTCATCCGCTCCGTGCACGCGTTCCCCGCCTGTGGAACTGAGCGTGCTCAAGGTCCTGACCCGCCACGAGGGGAGAGAGTGGCATGCAAGAAAGGCCATTGCTAAGGGCAATGTGATGGAGAGGAGAAAGACTGCACTTCCAGGTCCTTTGGGAGAGGGGGGGGAAGGAGACAGGCGGACATGGGACAAGAAGCCTCTTTCTCTGGCCACACCATGAGTCCAGAGCATGAACCAAGGGGCTGGCCCAGTGCCCACGTGGGTGCCTCCATGAACAGGGAGTCCGGCTGGCCTGGCTGTGTGCAGCTAGCCCAGTCGCCCTGTGCTGTGCCGGGAGAAGCCCTGTCTCCCGCAGCCTCCTCACACGCCCCCGATTTCCACCTCTCCAAGAGGGAGATCTCAGCAGCGTGCCTTTCTCCTCTGGCCTTCGCTCGGAGAGGGGAGGGAGGGGAGACGGGGAGGCCTACTGAGCTGACTTAGCAATCCCATTTTTATTAGAGATGCATTCGCTGATTAGCTCCACATCCTAGTGACTTGGGCACAATAAATTACAAAGGAAATGTAGAAATCACTAGGGTTATACTAAAGTCTCCTAGGAAAGCAGCACTAAGGTCATTTTCTGGGCCATTAAATGGCTGTCATTCGTTTGCTATCTAGTTTCTTTGATACCAATTCATTTTGTCTTAATTTCAGCCCTTCTGCATAAAGGGGGCAGGTGCCAGCCCAGAGCCACGGTCCTGACCGCAGGAGGGACAGTCACATAAAACTCCACGCAGGGCTGATTCAGAGCAAGCGGGGGAGAAATCCAGCTAATACCTGTCCCCTCTGCTGCAGCGTTTGCCCCTAATGATCCAGCACCTCATAAGATCGCTCAGTAACAACCCAAAGCCCATGCCAAATTACTTGTCACCATCAGCAAATCTGGGTTGTCCCCGCTCAAGAGATGCAGCCATCCCATGTTACAGCTGCTGTCTTTTATCGGGCACACACGAGCTCCTTGGGGCTGACAGCAGCTCCTCATGTGAAACACAGCCTGGTTTGGCTCACAAATGGGCCCTTCGGGGTCAGCACAGGACAAAGATTTCACAGTTGGCATTTTACTTCTTTTCTTGATGGGTGCATTTTGCCAAGCAGTATGAAAGTCTTCCAAAAACACAGTTGGGTGTGATATGGTGAGCATGGCCGCTGGAGTCGTAAATTACCGTGCAGCCGCCCCTCTGGGGAGCAGAAACCTTTTTGGGTGGAACTGCCCCATGACCAGACACCCATGGTCCCACTGCACAGAAGGAGTTCTCAGGAGTTTTTTGGCTGAAAGATCTTGCCTCAAAACCTGCATGGTGTGTGCAGGCAATTTGCAGCCAGTGAAAAGAGGCAAAATCTCTCATAGAGGTAAATTGTCACGGATATTTGGCCAGCTTTTGGGGTAATAACTCTTACTGAAATTACAGCAAAAGGGGAGGACTCCTGAGTTAATCTTTGGAAAGTGCCATGAAAAAGAAAAAGCATAAGACACGATCATTATTATTGGCATGTTATGCCACTCCACTCAGCTCAGCATTAGTTGGAGCAGACTGTGGATGTGCGCTCCCATGCTAAGAGCCGTAGTGCTGGGAGAGGAAGGGGCAGTCAGTATTTTGCATGCTCTGCCTTAGCTTTCCGGTGCATCTTGGGGTATTTCCCTTCCAGTTTGGGTGGCCTGACCTCCCCCTCACTCCCTGTGCCTTTTTGCTGGCTGTCCTCAGCAGGGCCAGCCAAAGGGGAAGATCAGATGGCAGGAGCAGGACAGGTCAGATCCTACAGGATTTTTGGTGTCCGACTCCTGGAGGGCACACAGAAGCCATGGGAGTTAGTGACTTTGAGACTCGATGGATGTGACTCGTCGGTGACCACGCAGGGAAGCCTGTGGAGGAGATGGAGACTGAATCTCTCTCTCCTAACTCCAGGGCATCTGTGATGACAGCTGACCTCCTTTTCCTCTCCTTACACTCAGGGCACCAGGGGCAGAAAGACACTTTGGCAGGTTGCCAAAGGCTGCACACCCTGGAGAGGCAGATCTTGGACTGCAGTCAATCCCCAGCTCCAGTCTCACAGGCAGCCCCGTAAACACCAGCTCCTCCAGCTCAACGATGAGCCCGGGATGTGGCAGTGACCCGTCCCAGCCACCCTGCTGCTGTATTCACTGCAGGATGCTCACATACGTGCTCTTTCTTCCGTCTGCAGAGCCAGCTTTCCCAGGCCCTGAATGGCTTGTCAGACAGAGCCAAGGAAGCGAAGGAGTTCCTGGTCCAGCTCCGCAACATGGTGCAGCAAATCCAGGTATTGTGTCCCCTGGTCGAGGAACAGCCCCTTGCCGTAAGGATGAACCTGTGACCTCCTGCCCCATCTCCCTGACTGGGTTTGTTGGGTGCTCTCCCAAGGGGACCCACAGTCAGCACCTGCCCTTTCACATTACCCGCCTGCAGCCCTCCCTAAAGCTGCTGCTTCCTCAGCTATCTGTGTTATGGAGTGAGCAGCCGTGACCCTAGTCCTCCCAGGCTGTGCTGTAGGTGTACTAGTCATGGCAGGACAGACCAAATCTTTCTACTCCAGATTTGCTATGAGCCAAAGGCATAAGCACTGCCCATGTGCTGATGGTAAGGATTTGTGTGTTGTAGCAGTGCGGTTGTGCATACGAAAATGAAAATGAAAGTATCATTAAAAAAACTCGGGCTTTCCCATTGAAACAGAGAGGTAGCAGGTTTCACACAAGCCAGGGGGTGTTCTGCCTTCCACAGCAGCATTGCTACATGATGGAGCATGTGGCCCCAGGAAGTCACAGTGGCCAAAAATACACATGGATTCAAAAGGGATAAACTCCAGGGCCGTGAGGAGAATTACACAGTCAGGATGCTGCCTCCCCCTCTGACTGCCAGAAGGAAGGCAGGTTATCAGTAGAAGAAGAGCTATCTGGCCCTCATCCCTTTTCCTACATGCTTTCCTTGGGGATTGGTTTTAGGCCTGGTCCTGCTAGGCTACGCAGATCTTCCGTGTTCCCCATGTGAGAGGGTCCACATTCCTCTTCTGACCTCCCTGTGCTGAGCTGTCCCTTACTTTGCGTAAGCAGAAGGAAGGTCCCCCAGCAAACGGCCACCCTGGGACAGAGATGGCAGGAGCTGATCAGTCCTTTGTGCCCCCCAGCTCTCAGCAGGGCAGGGGGTCGGTATCATTGGCCCTTTCCCACAAGATTTTGGAAGTGACATGAATGTGTGTTTGTGAGCTGCTCTGATGTGGGAGCACACTGTAGTTTGACAAGCCTGCTGCTCCCCCAAACAACAGCTCAAATTTCTGGGGCTTACTTGTGATGCACTGACACCTGGAAAGGCCTTTCTCTGCCCTGAGTAGCCGCCTGATCATGAAGCAGGCCTTTCATGGCACATGTCCTGCCGGACGGTGGTGGGATGTGACTAAAGGTGTGTTGTAAGCACCAAAGTCCTATTGCTCCCCAGGACCTATTTGCCTTCCCTATGGCGTGGGGTGGCTCTGGCGGGAGGTACTGGCAAGCCCGCAGGGCTGTGATGCTCTACTCTCACTCACAGGAGAACAGCGTGGAGTTTGAGGCTTGCCTTGTGGCCCAGTGTGATGCCCTCATCGATGCCCTCAACAGAAGGAAAGCCCAACTGCTGTCCCGCGTCAACAAGGAGCACGAGCACAAGCTGAAGGTGAGCCCCTACCCACTGGGTCTAGCAATCAGAAGGCGTTCTGCCAGGTTGATCCCAGATCGGGATGAGGACTGTGATGCTTCTTCTTGCAGAGCAGGGTGAAGCACCTTAGGAGGAACAGAGAGTTCAGTGGAAAGCTGCTCTTACCACCTTGATTTCCACATTAGCTGAATTCCATTTTGCTGCTCCCAGCATGACGTGCCCTGAGCAGAGAGCTGCACACCGCCCCCAGGTAGTTGCAGTTGTTTCCACTGAATTACTCCATTCCTGGGCCAGTTACTAAGTCGTTAGGTCAGTAGAGCCGTGTATACAGCATCCACAGAGTGTAAAATGACCTTTTTCATGTCCTATGTAGCATTTGAGCTACCAGCCTCATCCTGCAAGATGCTGAGTTCCTTTAACTTCTGCTGGCTTTAGTAGGAGCTGAAGGCGTGGGGCGCTTTGTACGGTGAGATCCTGGTTTCGCCATCAGAAAAGAGCAGGAGCAGCTCTTCCCTGTTCTGTGCTTGATGAGCACCTCAGGGTCGCTCATGGTAGTAGTTTCACTGGGAAGTGAATTGTTGGCCTTGGAAAATGCTGAGATGCAGCTCTCAACATAAGCATTGAGGCTTGTGCCATTCCTTCAGCCTCTACACTGTGTCTTTTCAACTTGTTTGGGGCTAAGAAGGGAAGCAAAGGGCCTAATCACAGCTTGGACTAGTGGTGTTTCTTGTAGCAGTGCCCAGTATCTGTTGGATAAGGTAGTTGCACCCTGGCCGGAGGCCTTGCCAGCCCACAGCTCCCACTGACACAGGGCAGCTGGGGAGTGAGGTGTTTCACACCAACGTCACTTCGTGCTTCCGGGGTCCCTCCTGCAAGAGCATTTCCAAGAGGAGGCCACCAATCTCAGAGTGATCTTGAGAGGATGGGTGCTGCAACACTCACAAGTGCTTCCGTTGCACCTCGGCCAGTGGAGCAGGTCCTTAATCTCCTTCCCTGGCTGCTTCCCCTCTCGCTCACGGGGTCCTTGTTCCTCCTCCACCATCTTTGTTCCCAGTCCTTCCTCCAAAGCCCCATGGTCGGGGAGACAAGTGCGTACTGCAGCAAAGTTAGGCTGTGATCTGCAGTTAAACCTTCCCGGGCACTATGGGGGCCATGCCATCCCATGCAGGCCCAGCAGAGCCACAGCAGCTGGACAATAGCTGCTTTGTGGACGCGAACCCAGCACCAGCGCTCAAGTGTCTAACAATAAAGCACAACCCCAACTAGGCATGCAAAGCTGCCAGCCTGTCTTCTACACACAGAAAGCACTCCCACCGCCTGGCAGGCTCTCTTTCACTCTTCCCCTTTGGGACACGGTTAATTAAACTCTCACAAAGCTGGGCAGCACAAAGCGATTTCCCTGCTCAGCACAACCCACAGAGGCCCGCAGGCCCTTCACTCTTGGGCCACTCACAGGAAGTGATCTGCTTCCCATTACTTACTTTTACAGTATCGCCTGTCCCCGCCACAGCATGCACACATACATATCCCCCCCCCCACCACCACCATCCACCCTTGTTACCAGCTGGGCTTCATCATTAGACAGGCCTGGCTGGCCTGGCCTTTAAAAGAGCAAGCCACCCTGTCATTTCAATTCCAGCCCCTGTTAAAGTCAGCCCTCCTATATCCCTTCCGCAAGGACTGAGCATTTGCAGCTGTCCACACTGAGTAAAGGGAGGCTGCAAAGGCAAGGAGAGCTCCCTGGCACTGTATCCTCCTGCAGAAGTGACGTGGGAGCCTGGCTGCGCTTGCTCAGTAGCATCACAGTCAGACCCTCAGCAGTACCTGGTGTTTCAAACCCAGAATCTACCCCCCCTCTGGCCTTGCAGCGTCCATCCAATTTTTAGTCTGAAATTACCTGACTTTACCTTTTAGTTCTTGTAGTGGGAAGTAAGTAATAAATGTGGCTCCGCTGCCTTGGGCTTAGGCTTGTATGGGAAGAGTTGTTATACAGCCCTGACTCCTCTGAGTGCTGGCTGGAGTCCTGCACACCGGGATGTGTCTCCTGCGGCTTCAGCATTATCAGGCTGAGACACAGCTTTGCACACAGCCCAGGTCAATGTACATCCTTGGGGACAGGTACAGAGAGGGGCTTGCCTGCTTTCACAAGGTGGGACAGTGGGTCTAGCAGAACTTCCAGCCTGTTGGGTACCTCCCTGCTGTCGTCGTCCATGCACAGGGCCACCTGCCTTCCTGGGCCACCAAGGTGGGCCGGTTCACCATGGACCCTGCAGCCTGTTCCCCCCTGCCCTCTTCCACCAGCGCTCCTGCTTCCCCTGCCGTGCTCTGTGACCTGGGGCAAGAGGGCCGCTGGGTCACCGCAGCGTGGAGCAGCCTGCCCTTTTCCTCTCCAAGGAATCCCCTAGACAAAGGCAGCACCTGCAGCTCCCAGCTGGGCACAAGCTGAGCTGGCCTTGCTGAAAAGGTCAGTAGGAATGTGACATCCAGCAAGGGGAGATGTAAAATGTGACCGGCGTTGTGCCTCGAGCAGCTGCTTCGCAGTGGGATGTCCTCCCTGATCCCACTGCACCCGAGGCAGCCAGGGACGGCACTGGCAGCGGAGGGTAGCGAAGCCCCCAGCTTCTGCTCTGAGACTTCAGAGTGCAGGAAATGTTGCAGAGGGAGCAGAAATTCTCCCACTGTGTCAAAAAGCAAGGTGTGCAGCATGTGATAGGGTGCAGCAAAGGGACCATCTCCTCACCTGCTGCCCCATCAGCTGCCCCCGAGCAACATGCTGTCCTGTCAGCAAACTCTCTTTCTGTACGTGCCCTGCCCCTTGTTTTGCACTGAATTTGGACCCACAGTTGGTCCTGGTAGGGGCCATAGGGCTTATCGTGGTAGATGTTCACATTAGGACAGGAAAGCATTTGCTGCAGGCTTGTGGTGATAGCTTCATAGCCCAGAACATACTAGTCTGGCCTGCGTTGTCCGCTTGCCTCTGCTGTGTCCCCGGAGCAAGCCAGTCAGGGAGAGGATGAGTAGGTAGATTCACCAGCAAGGCATAGCTGTGCCCCCTGAGATCCCCTTGAGATCCAAATTCCTCAGTTGCTCTGGCAGCCCATGCACAGCTGCAGCACCCCAGCTGCAGTCAATTTCTCTGTCGGCTGCCCCTCCTGCCCACTGGGAAGCTGGCTCTCACAGCATGGTAGTGCACAGGGCGAGTGAAGACGAGAGGCAGAGGGACAGAGCCTGCCTGCTGGCTTGATGCCCCAGATGCCTTTCACCAGGGAGCCCAAGTTCCCATTCCCATGTGGCATCCGGAATTCGGGTCAGCTCTGCTTCGGTACTGACCTACTTTGGCTTGACACATATTTCACAGAATCACAGAATCACAGAATCACAGAATGGCCAAGGTTGGAAGGGACCTCTGGAGATCAGCTAGTCCCACCCCCCTACTCAAGCAGGGTCACGTAGAGCATGTTGCACAGGATCGCGTCCAGGCGGGTTTTGAATATCTCCAGGGAAGGAGACCCCACCACCTCTCTGGGCAGCCTGTTCCCATGCTCAGTCATCCTCACAGTAAAGAAATTTTTCCTCAGGCTCAGACGGAACTTCCTGTGTTTCAGTTTGTGCCCGTTGGCTC